AAGGGAAGACCCGGGCTCCCGGGGAGCAAAGGAGAGGCCGGATTTTTTGGAATTCCAGGGCTGAAGGGCCTGGCTGGCGAGCCGGGCGTGAAAGGTACGTCACGTCCCGGCAGGGTGGAGGCTGACTTCCCTGGGGGCCTGGTGCTGCTCGGAACAGTATCCCAGGACCCTAGACACACATACGATTACAGAAGAAGCAAGCTAAACCAGAGGGCTGCATCCCAGCCTCCGCACACTGGCCATGCAGTGAGGCAGTGACCCTAACCGAAGGCTCCTGATCAGGAAGGGTGTTACCTTCAAGTCACATTTTCATGACGTCAGTTCAGACACCTTTGTTCTGAAAGTATCTCCATGGTCTCTAAAAACTTGAATCGCTCGTAACACATGTCAGTGGGGGTGCAGAGACATGGAAACCCTCAGGCCTGCTGCTGGGAATGTAGAATAGTGTGACTGGGCTGGAACAGGTTGGCAGTTCCTTAGAAAGGTAAACTCAGGGTTGCCCAGCAGCTCTGCTCCTACGTGTGCACCCGAGAGAACTGAAAACACACATGTCCGTGCAAAACCTCTTACGTGGGTTTCATAGCAGCATGATTCGTAATAGTCAAAAATAGAAACACCTATGATGGACAAGTGAAATACAGCGTAGCCGTGTGAGGGAATATTACCCATCAGTGAAAAAGAGGTGGGTTCAGATACATGCTATGACAGGGATGACACTTGAAAACAGTAGGCCATCTGTTGTCTGCCTCTGTCTGTACGAAGTGTCCAGAATAAGCCGATCTACAGAGGCAGGAAGTGGGCGAGTGGTTTCTGCTCCTGGAGGGGAACGGTGGGGGTAACTGCTGACAGGCACAGGGTTCTCTTGGGGTGATGGAAGTGTCCTGAGGTCAGTAGTGGTTGGGGAGCAGGCCCCTCTGTCCAAGAAGCCCTGTGTCCCCACGTCCTCGCCTAGAGAAGGGCCAGGGAGAAGACGGATGTTTCCATCCCCTTGGGCTCTCGGAGCACCATCCCCAGCTCGCAGCATCAGGGGAGCCGTGCCGCCCGTGATCCAGCCCCTCAGGACTGGGACTTGGAGGGCAGCAGTGGCCAAGAGGCCTCTCCACCTGGGTTTTTCTACCTGGTCCAGAGGTCAAGGGAATGACTGCATTCTGTTCCCTTCCAGGCAGCCGTGGGGACCCTGGCCCCCCCAGGACCACCTCCCATCATCCAGCCGGGAATGAAAGACATTAAAGGAGAGAAAGGAGATGAAGGCCCCATGGGACTGAAAGGGTACCTGGGCTTGAAAGGTGAGGCCCTGCCTGACCTCAGAGCTGTCGGGCCTGGGGTCCCCCCACCTCCTCCCCCACTGCAGTCTGAGGGAGCAGCAGAGACGCCCCTGCACTCATGCCAGCCTCCCGGGCTGCAGCCCTCCCAACACCCTGATGTCTGCCCCCGCGCAGCCTTTCCTGTTTGAAGGCTGCAGCTCCGGGGCCTGGGGGGAAGAGCAGGGTTCCCCCAGAACTTCACACTCGGCCTTCCTGCAGGCATTCCGGGAATGCCGGGGATTCCCGGGCTGTCAGGAGCCCCTGGGTTGCCGGGGAAACCAGGCTACATCAAAGGAGTCAAAGGAGACACCGGAGTCCCCGGCGTGCCCGGGTCACCAGGATTCCCCGGCGTGCCCGGCCCCCCCGGAATCTCAGGGTTTCCGGGGTTCACAGGCAGTAGGGTAAGTGGGCATCTTCGGTGAGTCCTCTCCCCACACCTGCTGGAGACTGAGGCCCTGATACTGAGTCACCGTGGGCAGGGCATCCGGCCTGGGTTTTCTCCTTTCTTCACTCAAGATGCAGCTTTGAGCACTTGCTACGTTGTCATGGTGACAGCGGGGCACCTGGCCCCCGGGTGGGGCCCTCTTCGCTCCGCGCCCCGTCCTGTCTGTGCGATGCGGGGAGATTTTGGGTGCAGTGGAGGTGGTGCAGATAACATGCACAGAGTGGCTCTCCATCCCTGCTGTTCTGTGCACGTGGTGCCCTCGGAACTCTTCGGGGGTCTCCCTTCCCTCACTCCTCCAGTCTCTAGCCCGTGGGACCTCATAGCCAGTCTGTGCAGCTATAGTCAGGTCACTGAAAAAAGAAAGATGCACATGTCTGCCGAAGGACACAAGCAAGCTTCGCGGAGGCTTTTTTGACAACAGCCAAAAACTGGGACAGAGCCCACATGCCCACGCACAGGAGAAAGTAAACAAGCATGGTCGATCCAGGCCGGGGGCCAGTCCGCAGCAGCACAGAGGGGGTTACTGATAAACGCCGCAGCCCGAGTGAGCCTCACAGGCTTTGTGTTGAGCAAAATGAACCACAAACAGAAAGTGCACCTGACTGCACTTTGTGACACTGAAGAGCTGACGAGACCGTTGGACAGAGGCGACTCAGCAGAGTGGCTGCCTTAGGCAGGGTGGTTAACTTGGCAGGGGCACAAAGGAACTTTCTAGAGTGCTGGGACGTCCAGCATCTTTCTCTGGGTGGCATGCGAGTGAAAATTAACTGCGCATTCAAGATGAGTGCACCACACTGTATGTAAGTTATGCCCCTGCCGAGTAAGCTTTGAGAGGGAAAAGCAGGTGGTTGTCTAAACAAGGATGCGGGTTCTGACTCACCCTCCCCACTCCTCCCGCACAACGGAGCTTCCATCGTGATTCAGAGATTAGAGTTAAGCTGTGCTAGGAGGGGTAATGGCATGGATGCTGGGGGGCTGCCACCCCAGGTTGGTGCTAACGTGGAGAGCTGGGGGGTCCAGGCGGCCCAGAACCCCCTCCCACCCTCCCTGCGAGGAGGAAGCCTTTTGCAGAGGAAAGTCATGGCTTCTAAGCCACAGAACCACCCACACATCATCCCAGTCGGTTGTCAGCCCCCCACATCGTTTTGGAAAAGTCTCTCTCTCTTCATGGACAGAGGTGCCCCACCATGTAACACAGAGAGCATGTTCTGGAATCACAGCCCAAGTCGATCCCCCAGTTCTGCCACTTATGAGCTGAGCGGCCTTGAGCAAATTACTGAACCTCTCTGTGCCTCCATGTCCTCATCTCTCAAACGGGATTTCATAGCACCCACCTGAAATGGGCTCTGGAGATGGTCTCCAGCACATGTGCCTGGTGAGCCTGGCAGGAGGCAGGGCTCAGTCAGCCGCGGCTGCTACCACCACCGTCACGGCCAGCATCTGCGTCACTGATGTTGCTAATGTCAGGAAAGCCACCAAGCTTGCATCATTTTTACTACTTTACAATTAAATAAGACCAGGTACCCAAACCAGCCGCTGTCTCACACCAAAAACTTAGGACTTTTCTAGAAAATGATGGCATCACAGACCTTGAGCGTTGGGTTTAGCACAACAGCCGCGTATGCTAACCCTGCGGAATTACAAATGTCACGAATGGCGGTGTAAGGTGGTGTCGTGTCTGACTTCGCTCTAGGGTGACAAGGGAGTTCCGGGGAGAGCAGGCCTTTACGGAGAGACTGGCCGCACCGGTGACTTCGGTGAGTGTTGCTCAGACAGTGAAAACGGGGCACGCGTGACCCAGGGAGTGTTCTGGGCAGGGTGGTGACGCGAGACCCACGGATGCTGTTAGGTATTTTGAAGCAAACTGTTCTTATCAGGAGCGCAGCCCAACAGAAGCTGCGGCACTAGCCCAGGAAGGCCCACCCTCAGTCACCTTTCTTGCACCTAACAGGTGACACTGGAGACAGCATCGACTTACCAGGAAGCCCGGGTCTGAAGGGAGAACGGGGCATCGCTGGAGCACCAGGTACCCAAGTCTCTCCCCGACCCCCTTCACCTTCCACAGCCCTGACCGCTCGGTGTCGGCACTCGTGCGCCGGCTTGCCAGCCACACCGTTAGTCTGCAAGCCCGCGGGCGGACTTGGAGGGACGGGCTGAGGTCTCCAAGCCCAGCGTGCAAGGAAGACTCTGGAATTTTTTTTATTCTTATTTTTTATTGAAGTGTAGTCAGTTTACAACATTAGTTTCAGGTGTACAGCAAAGCAATTCAGTTATACATATACATACTTTTTTTTCAGATTCTTTTTCGTTACAGGCTATTACAAGAAATTGAATATAGTTCCCTGTGCTCTACAGTAGGTCCTTGTTGTTTACCTATTTTATATACAGTAGTGCGTATCTGTTAATCCCAAACTCCTAAGCTAGTCTCCCCGACTTTCTCCACTGGTAACCACAGTTTTCTATGCCCATGAGT